AAGAAGAGTAAGATTCTCGGATTGAAAGGACGTACCAACCACACCAGATACATCCTATACCCATGGTGAGAGACGACACCAGTAGTGCTGGTCTCCTTCCATACTTTACCGAAAGCGGCTGTACTTTTGTCAGCGTAAATCGCAAAGTTGATGTAGCAGGGGGGCCAACCATCATGAACAATGTCGAAACGCCAGATAGCAAAAGGTAGATACCAGCTGACCAAGAGAGCTGAGTGATAGTTATATTAAAGTCTGCTGCTTGTTGTACCATGCCTGAATCCCATTCATTAGAAATAGACGTCGGTAGACATTGGGTCAGCGGTAATACCTCCTGACATTGCGGGCCCAATAATGCTTCCAAAGAAGCTGTATGCGAGATCATTGCCAAAAACCTGACAATAGAAGGTCAGTTCGGGTCTTGAATTTGGGTATCGGGTCGTGACTTACCACCCACTTCTTCCACGTTGGCCATCTGAGAGGATCATTTGGATCCGTTAAGGATGGCTGTGGAACGAGGATGACGCGGACATCTAGCTTCTTGATATGCTGGAGATGTGCATGATGCGCATTGTCCTCGTCGTAAATGAGGTGTTGTGTACCAGGAGCGATTTCTCCAGGCATCTTGATATGTAGTAAATTGCAAAAGACAAGACTATAGGGGTAAGGAGGCTTCACCGCAGAACAATGTCAATTGAGAACGGGACATTGTCAGGAGTTATATCTCCACGTATCCGTACAAGATGATAACGTGTCAAAGAATCGGATAGGTAATTAGAACAGGCTTGCCAGCTTGGGCGATTTGAGCTTCTGGCCATGTTGAAAGGAGACCTCAACCACAAAGGTCGGCCGTCAATATTGGGCGAGTGGCACCAATCAGAAAGCGTTGCGCTATCAAGACACTTTGATCGCCCAACTAACCGACGGGCGAAGAGCTCCATCGCCCGACCCTGCTTCATTGACATGACTCGAGATTTCGATTTCCTTCAGCTTGGCAGATTGCTTATAGAAAATACGATGCTGCATATAAATGTTCTTGTGGTGCATGTACCTGCTATATGAGACCTGAGTTAGGTAATACTGAGCCTCACCTGCATTGCAAGGCGTATTGTCGTTGTTAAACTTAGCATTTTCACATCACTATGCCTAGTGCGACATCAACTTCCCCTGGGTTCACCTGCAAAGATGAGCCTATTGAGAACCAGAGGCCTCTAACGGTCAGAGTGATTGGCGCAGGATACTCTGGGGTGTACCTCGGCATCCGGATTCCTCAACGCCTGAGGAACGTCGACCTGCAAATATACGAGAAGAACGATGGCATAGGAGGTACGTGGTGGGAGAACAGGTATCCTGGCTGTGCATGCGATATCCCTGGTGAGTAAATGCGTGATCTAATGGCTTCAATTATTGACTGACCTATGGTTATAGCCCACTCATACCAGTACTCTTTCGCGCCCAACAAAAGATGGACTTCCTTCTACGCCCCCTCTGCCGAGATATGTGACTACATACAGAATATTGCTGAAACATATGGTGCGACGAGATTCATCAAGTTACATCATGAGGTAACCAGTTGCCAATGGGATGATACCATTAACAAATGGTATGAACATGAACTCAAAGGGATTTGCGGAGTACTTTCCCAGCTAATTGCTATACAGGCATCTATCTGTACGTAAAGCAGACACAGGCAGTATCTTCACAGAAGTCGCAGACGTTGTGATATCAGCGAGAGGCAACTTGAACGAGTTTGCCTGGCCGAATATTCCGGGAATCGAATGCTTCAAAGGGGAGATGATGCATTCTGCCAAATGGAATCAGGGGTAAGTAACTTGGAGGTTTCCATAATCTGTTCAACAAGATCCATACTTTATATTTCAATTAGACATCTCGTTGCTGACATTAGGACAAGCTACGATTTTCGAGGTAAAAAGATAGGTATCATAGGGGGAGGATCCAGTGCTATTCAGATCGTACCGAAACTACAAGAGATCGAAGGAACACGACTTAGTTGCTTCGTGAGAAGTAAGACCTGGATTTCCAATAGATTTGGAGATTTTATCATGAATAAGTTAGGATGGGATAATAACACGTTGGAAAGTATGTATTCTTTGATCCTCGGTCCCGCTGACTGTGTCACTGACAATCGTATAGTCGACGAACACCGAATCAAAGAATTTGAGAGTGACGACGATGCTTATCTCAAATTTCGGAAAGCAATTGAAGATGACGGCAACCTTGTACACAACTCTAGTATTCGGGGCTCTAATATGCAGGAGGAATTTATCAAGACTTTCACAGAGACGACGAAGGCACGCTTAGATGGCAAGCCTGACCTGATAGAGTCATTCCTCCCTGGGTTTGGTCTTGGTTGTCGTAGACTAACACCTGGCCCCGGTTATCTAGAGGCTCTCACACGAGAAAATGTCGATTTTTATAGGTCCGGCATAAAGTATATTAACGAGAAGGGACTCGAACTGGTAGATGGGACACAAATCGATGTTGACGTATTAGTTTGCGCCACAGGCTTTAACACTACCTCTGTCCCTCCGTTTCAAGTCATAGGCAAGAATCGCCGTACTTTGGCGAAGAGGTTCACTCCATTTCCCGAGACTTATCTCACCATTACCGTCGACGGCTTTCCGAACTACTTCATAATGCTGGGTCCAAATGCTGGGATTGGTGCAGGATCGCTCACTTGCCTCATTGAGGCTCAAGGAGATTATGTCATCAAGTGCATCCGTAAGCTGCAAAAGGAGGATTACACATGGATGATGCCTAAGGCGGCACGTGTTAAAGACTTCTCCGATTATATCGGCGACTACTTCAAGAAAACAGTATACGCGGAGGAATGCCAGAGTTGGTACAAGGTCAGTGGTAGTAGCCGCATCTCCGCGCTCTGGCCAGGCAGTATTCTGCATGCCATGGAAGCTTGGCGATCTCCAAGATGGGAGGATTTCGAATATGGACACAATGAAGAAAACCGGCTTAGGTGGCTAGGAAACGGCTGGAGTGTATGTTTGATGGAGGGAGGTGGTGATCCGTCACATTATTTGAACCCGGATGTCGTTGATGTGCCCCCGGTTGGTACGCCCGAGTCGGATAGGAAATTCGCGGCGAGGCCATTTTCTCATTAAAGAGTTGATTGAGATTTTCATGCACGACGTTGCGGGGCATGGATAGAGTATGCTGCATTGCTAGATCCTATAGAAGATTGCGAGCAAACCGATCGCCATATATTGAAACCGAAGACTGTATTTACTACGAAGTTTTCCAGTCAAATATTGTACGAATCAAAGCTAGACATCAGTCAGTATGTTTTTTCTCTTGTCGTCAGATGCATGGTTGAGATATTTACTACGTCTAGCCCAATCGCCCAAAGAAACAGGGCAACAGTGTCTACTCCTGGCCAACACCCTCTCAAAATA